TGCATTACCGAGCGAAATGAGCTGATGTTTCCATAAAGACAAAACAAAATCGTATATTTCCCAACATGATTTTATTATTATTATTATTATTTTAATTTTAGACTAATGAATTGAATTCTTAGACTAAAAAAAGAGACATTGAGCACTAGCAACACAGGCTATCGGCTCTAATTTAAAAAAATGGATATTAGATAATAAGCTTAGTAGTATTAATAAAGTAAAATATTGAATTGATATTCTGTTCTGAAGTTGATTGTAGAATGTACAAAGGGTTAATCGTTCCAAATGCAATACTTCTAGCCAAGGAAAAGTTGAGGCAGTCGCAGAGAATGTGCTTTAAAGAGTTTGTCCACAACAGCAGATTGGGGGAGATTTCGTTTTAATATTAAAGACTATTAATTTAATATAGTATATTAATATAATATTATATAAATGTAATAACAAAAATTAAATATGGTCACAAAAAGTAAAAACGTCTTTCGCTCAGAAAAGTTTCATTTTAAAAGAAATTATTCTCTTGATTAATGTTTACGTAAACCAAGTGTCCGATCATTTGGCGATTACATCACTGCCCTGTTCGTAACGTTGTAATATAAAAAGCAACAGAATGTGTGGAGTGAATTTAACAATCAGATATACTGAAAAGTTGTTTCAAACCGAGCCTAATAAAAGCTCCACGAAACTTGAAAAATTTAAGCAACTGATTTTCCACGTCGTCCTTTCTTAATCCAAACTCAAAATATTGCTATTCTGTACGCAATTTTTTTTTTTTGGTATAAACCAGTAAGGACAATGGATAAGGCCTTTAAATTGAGACGACTATACGCCAGTCACGAGAAATGTAGAAGTTTTTCTGATAGTTCATAAGGTTGAGAGGAGCAGTTTGGATGAATTTCAGCAAAAAATCAGGGAATGGGACGTTTGGTAGAAGAAGATCTCCTTTGATAACAATCAAAGATGATAGTTAGGACAGTACCGTCAACCTCCGGATTAAATTCCCAGACAAGTACAAGCTTATCTGTTTATTTGTATAATATAGATAGTAAGAGAAAAAAGAGTTTAAAAAACCAGCAAGTTTGATAAGGCAGTCAACTGTATGAGATATGAGTAATTGCTAGCACGATAAATTTCATATAAGTTAAAAAAGTAGAAAGGGTATCTAAAGATGTTGACCTTTCTGCATTCAAAAATTAGATGCTCAGCTGACTCTGCAGTGTTGCATTCATCGCAGATGTTAGGTGGGATTGCCTTAATCATTTCTAACTAAACGTTATCATATACTCTTTTTTTTTTTTTTTGGTATGTTGAAAAGAGATGGACTAAGCCAATAGATTTGTGGCTTATATGTCCAAATAATAAATTGTTGTAACTTTAATCACGATTATGTATAAAACGTAACAAAAAAAGAGCGGCCGTAATAACTGGAGTGAGCATGTTAAAAGTAATTGTGTGTGTGTGTGTAAGTGTGCTTGTTGAGTTCTTGAAAGTCAGACAGTGTTGCAAACTTTGGCTGAAAACGAAAAGGAATGTTATGGTAATTGAAAATGATTGAACGCAAAAAAAAAAAAAGGAAAGAGGAAGAAAAAGAAAAATTCTAAAAGGATAAATTGGCTTTTCTAATAAAGCAAGTTAGTTCCCCGAGATGACGTACATTTTTTGCTGCAAAGAGATCGAGGAGACAGCCATATAACTTGAAGAAGCTAAAGGAATCTCATTATCATATACTCGATTGCTCATGAGTCTGTTGAGTTTTAGTTTCCCTTCTAAGTTTGCCATCCGGCAGGCATTCAAAGAATGAATCTTAGAAAAAAGATTATCATTACTTCACTTCTATTCTTGAATGATGTTTTCCGAATTAGACAAAGAACATCGCTGCGAGGATATTTATGCAAAAAGGAGTTTAACATTAAATTAAGCCCCATGCGCATACATACCAGCCATTTTATATAAACTGAAATCACTTCCATTTAGGATTTCTTTTACAGTTACAGTTGAGCTTGATAATAATTGCTTTTCAATTTGATTTTATATAAATTTTTCATAAACTTCTCATTTTTAAACTTTTCAATTACTTTTTCTAATTTTTTATCGCAATTTTTAACTTTGTCAAACTTCTCTTCGCACTTGTGAAATGACTTTGATTTTTCGGTGGTTTATTCCTTTACGTCGTTTATAAAAAAGAATATGTTTAGAATATAGAGACCAGAGAGTTGCTTTCAATAAATGGTAGAAAATCACCGTAACAATTCTGTTAAATGGGAATAAATGAATAAAAGCATCGAAAAATATCACAGAATTTATTAGAAGCTAAATTAACAACCACTAAGCCGTTGAAACATTTTTAAGTATTTTGTTTATTTATGTGAATATTAACTACAGAGACAATGCGTCTTGCCCTGAACATTTTCGATTATCTTTTCATCGCTTGATTTTTCAGCGTCAGTATCATTATATGGTCATTCTCATTCTTATTTGATGAAACATCCCTATTGGAATTGGTAGAATTTTTGATATATCAATTCAATATATCAATATATCCAATAAATCAATTTCTATGAAAGTGAATGAAAGTTTACTCGTTTTATACTTGCAGGCCTTTAATATTTCATTTCAACCGAACATAACTTTTTTTATCAAAGAATTTTGCGCAGCAAGTAAGTGGATCGTCGCAAGTTCATATAGAGTAACTGAAAAGACAAACAATTCTAAAACAAAAATATGAACAAGACCGTATTGCTTTCCACAGTGCCCTGGCATGCACATCAAGTGGCTTTCTTCAAGGTTAGAATCGCTTAAAATAACATAGAGACCCGTTATGTGTCTTTGTGTTTGATTAGCATCAACGCCGATTTGCTATTGGAGAAGATAATGATTTTTTAGTGATCTGGATTTAGCAATCTGACATCAAAGTTGGCAATAAAGGTGGAAGACAGTTCTTCCAACCCTACGTATTTGCCTAGGAGTATCTCTGGATAAATGACTACCGATTACTAGACTGAATGTCCCAGAATTTATTGAACAGTGTTTGGCATATATTGAGAAGCCATTTTCTAGGCAATTTTAGCAAATATACAGCTCGAAGACATGTGTTAGGCAAATTGCTGTTATAATTAGCTATCCATTTGAGGATATTCAGATAAATTTTTGCATTTAGGTAGAGTCAAATTCCAAGCGAGAGTGGTAGTGACTTTGTTGCAAATGCGAAATGTTTTAGTTGAATACGAACTAAAAAGAAATAATTATGAAAATTGATTACTTTATATTGACGAAAAAACTCATTAGTATTTGACGCATTTTTAAGCACTAAATCATGTTAGCGTGAAGGCGTTGTCCTGGTGGATGCAGATTAACATCGTACCCTTCTAGCATGTTTGTTACTTTAGCGTCTTCGGTTTTTCCAATTCTCAGTATTACTTGCACCTTCAAACGCTGTAGTAATTCACAAACTGTAATTTACGTACGCGTGTAACATTGCAACTGACCACCCGATCTAATGACTTTCATGTTCAACCTTCCATACCATCCATTTTTAGAAGACAGTTATGGGGCTGATGAGAAATAGTTTACGCTTCAAAAAAAAAAAAGGATTTAAGTTTTGCCAGAAGAAGCTCTTGCAAACAAATTTGCCTGCAAAATCTTTCAGCTGTTACGAAAAATATATATATTTTTTTTGATTAAAGTTGCCATCACGTTAATAAGAGGCTATCTCGGATTAAATTTCAGGCATTTCTAGAGAAATCGAGGGAAATCTTGACTAAAATATTTACTGCGATCAGTTTATTTCTCGAAATTTATTCAAATTGGGACAAAGAGTCCATTATTGCATGTAAAATTAACATTATATCGAACGAATGTTAATTCGAACCTAAAGCCCACGTTTTACGAAAAGTTTTTAAACTAAAGTGTCATATAGAACAACGCAATTTAAGGTTATATGTAACATAAATCGAAAAAATGTTGTATTGAAGCCTTGTTATGAGATACCCTGAAATAGTGTAAATCAATACAATGCGGACCATGTTTTTATTTTATATCTTTAAATTTCCTTTCTAACATGAATGAAAAGGGCAAGAGTTTATTTAAAAAAAAATACGAAATACAATAAAATATAATAAAGTGCAAATATTAAAAATTTACTCAAAAGTTATTGATGATGACCACAAAATTAAGTTTCATCAAAAATTACAACTAATATTTCATTCTTCTCTTGAAGCTGGTTGAAACAGATCTTCCAGATCCCAACAAGTTCACCGCCAGCCCTTACTAGCGACGAAGTAGAAATAGAAACAAAAATCAATTGAAAAATTGTTTATTCGGTATTTTCCAACTTCTTCTTCTTCTGCGAGTCAGCAAATCAACAACCGATGATTTACTGTGTTGAGTTTTTAGAAATGTCGTATCGAAGTAGCGTTAAAAGTTTGCGTTCTGTTGTAACGAAACCGTGCTTTGTAAGTTCCACGTTATTTTTTTTACAATGTTTTTGGACCAGAAATACTTTCCAAAGCAATTACGGCACAATTTATTGCGATAATATAGCCATAACGTGTAAAGAATTTATAGTTTAATAAAACTTCCCTGGGAAACATGAGAGTTCGTTTCCGAATCTAAAGGCTTTATCGCTTTTTAATAATAACATTTTTAAGTGAATTATACAGAAATGTAGGCGCTTATTGTAAAAATCTTTTATATAAGGCTTCCAAATGTATATATTTTATGTTGATTCGCAAATAAAATAATAAAAATAAATTTAAAAAATTAATAGCACCAGTTATTTGATCCCAAGACAGCATTTAAGAAAGGCCTTAAATATGCGGCATCTAATATTGTTTCTACATTACATGGTAGTTTACTCACTTTCAAATCCTTTCCTTATTTATAATTTCCCCGCATTTACATTCAGCTAATCACAATTTCGGTGTGGGAATAAACATTTAGTTATGGCAACATTATTGAAAGAGAAGAAAAGAAAGAAATATTTTCAGCAAATTTTTCATACTGCCCGATATATGAAAAGGCAATAAAGTTAGAGTTTTTTTTACTGAAAAATCTGAATAAATGGAAGCAATTACAAGTGAAACATGAAATATGGATGGCAAATATCAATTATCAGAATCTGTAGTGACTTCAGGTAAATGGATAAAGGCATATATTGTCAATAAAGTTGTGAAGGGCCAAGCGAATTTAGTGCAGCCAATTTATGTGAGACATTAGTTGTAAACGAAAGAAATAGTTTATAATTTGTAGAAAGTTTGAATTTTATGCAAATTCTTGTAAAATATCAAGTAAAGTCTTCTATTAACATTACAATTATTATATATATTGGTGTCTTCATGGTTGCAGAATTATATTTTTTGATATGCAAGTTTCTGGCTGCTGGTCCCCTGCAGAAAACTGCTGAGGTAAACTCATATTCTTCATTAAAAACCTATAGAAAATTGTTGTTTACATTTGAAAACACCAGAATTAATCTGTTAACTCTTCTTTTAGGTGCTGATCCGTGAGCTGGAAGAAAAGAAAGTAAGTAGCATGTATTTGAAGCAACAGCTCGTATGTTAGAACTTTTACATCGAAATTAGTGGAGTTTATGGAATTATTATTTTGTAAATAGAGATTTTAATTTGGCGGTTAAGAGTTTTTCGTAATATTTTGATTTGTTGTTGTTTTTGTAAATAGTTGTGTAGCCGTCCGCAAACAACATGCGCTTATGGCAATGTTAAGAACTATACTGACAAACGAATCTAAAATATATCAACTATAGTGTGTTTTTCTGTGTTTTTGGCTATTGTCGGCATGTATAATGGTAATGGTTGACAACAACCAACCAAAACTAAAGTTAATTTTGAAGGGGCCTGATCTGTGTGCTGTCACTATCTTTCATATAGCACGTGTTAAGAAATCGCCAAACTTAATTAATTAATTGAGGATAGAGAAAGGAGATTGAGGGCTATAAAAATTTCTCCATTTTGATTATAAGGTAGTGGCAACTTGATTAATTCCCTATCTTTTCAAATTAATATATTCAGTTTGTTTATTTCGTAGGTGCTACCAAAACGTACCGATTGGTTGGGCAACGAATATGATCAGACTTTAGCTGAATTGGTGAGTAAGCCATTATGTCAATTGTTTTTGTTATTCAGAGCCTTCTTATTGAAAGATGATAATTGGATAAATAATTGTGTGTTACATAAACGCATGCATTATTTCTTTGCGTTTGATAGATATTCTCCTAATTTTTGTTTGTTGCATTAATTCTTTTCGGCAGAAGTTTGCGTTCTAAAGTTTATTATTTTTCATATTTCATTGTTCGGCTTTCATATTTGTTCCCATTACTGTTGATATGAAGACGCCATGTTGTCTAACTACAGATACATAGACATGTATACGCATGCATGACTGCATTTAATAAATTTGGCGATTCTTGTTCATATTTAGCATTAAATTATTAATTAAAAAAAACACAAATTATTTAATTTATTATTGCAATTATTTAAATTTCATTTAATTGCTTCAACTTTATCTAATTATTCAAACATATATATTAAAATTGTCCGAGTTGGTTAAATTGCATTTTTAAATAATTATAGATATATTGCTTTTCATTGATTAAAAAATTCTTTTTGGTCCTTGATTTTAACAAATAAAGAAAAAATCTTTATTCGTGGTATTTACGATAATCGAGTCTAATGCTTGCCAGGGTTGCCGTAGGACACTTTTAATTTTTTACAGAAAAATGGTAACTCTGCGCAAATAAAAAACATGCCACAGCCTTGCTAGGACAATATTTTTATGCCTAAGAGTATATTAAATTTGTCAAATGTTTAGAATTGTTAGTATAATATGTGTAACAAGACGTATATATGGAACTTTGTTTACAAAGGTCATGCACTTTGAATATAGATTCTTAATACATTCGCATAAATAATAGAATATTTTTATAAAATGTGACACTTGAAGACATTTTTCACACACTTATCAGATTAAATATCTCTAGTAATGCCTGCAAAATGGAGTTTGCTTCACTATAGTACGTGCGTTATTTGAGTACTTTATGCCAATCATGTTACATCTTCTTTAATGCGGATTAGAATGGTAAACTCAAGGCTTTTTTGATTCGATTTATAGCAGGTTTAGGAAAGATTTTATTCTTGTTTTAAATATTACTACCTTCATTGTTCGTAACTTACTAGATATGCTTACCTATATAATATAAGTGGGCGATGTTCTTTACACGCTTATCTGAGATGTTCCTGCCCAATTAGAGCAAAAATTGGTGAATTTTTCTCTTTACTTTCCCTCAACAATAAAACGAACCTAAAACCAGTAAGTGTCGGGCATCGAAAGATTCGGTTTAAGCCGAACAATTTCTTGTTTGTATGTAGTTTGTGTTGATGTCGTTATTAAATTATCCATCGTGACAAGATTATTTGTTCGCATCAGCAAAATTAGTTTCTTTTCTTCTTTAGGAGCGGAAATATTCTCACATCGACTCAAATCATCTATTGCAAATATGTTGTCGTATTGGACCAATTTTGGACAAGGAGCTAGCACCAAGTGTTCCTGGCTTGATGTCATTATTGGGTAGCGGACGTCAAAGCTTATTGCGAACGAAAGAAAGTATTTTTCGATCCAGATCATTATTGGATTATTGTACACGATTACATGGTGTTTCCCTGCCAGATTCGACAGTTACTAAACCCGTGCATAATATTCGTAAGTATTTGCATGTTTTCTTGGCTTTAGATCAGCTTGAATGTGCTGGGCTTTGTTTAATATTTCATTTAGAAAAAGTTCTCATTGGTCGAGAGTATGGCGGACCAGTGCGCAGAAAACTTTTGGTTCCCACCGGTTTGTATAGTAAAACTAAACTTTTGCGTCGCACGGTAGGCCATCTTTCATCGGTGTATTGCGTGCTGTTTGATCGCACGGGCCGCTATATTATTACAGGAGCCGACGATTTGCTCATAAAGATATGGTCTGCTGTTGATGGACGCCTATTGGCTACGTTACGTGGTGCGTCTGCGGAAATTACTGATATAGCCATAAATTTGGACAACACTATGTTGGCGGCGGGTTCTCTCGATCGTATATTACGAGTTTGGGATTTACAAACGACTTCTCCTATTGCCGTGCTTTCAGCCCATACTGGCATGATCACGTCAGTGAATTTTTGCCCATCGCCTCGAGCAGATCTTAAGTATTTGGTAACTACTAGTACTGATGGATCGATAGCTTTCTGGCAATATTCAACACCTCGTGGGCAAAAAATCACTTTTGCTCCAAAGCCTATCCAGTATCATGAAAAGTTACGTCCTGGTCAAGCACAAATGATGTGTACTTCGTTTTCTCCGGGCGGTATGTTTTTGGCAGCTGGTTCGGCTGATCATCACGTACGTGTTTATTTAATGTCAGAAGATGGACCAAAACGTATTCTGGAAACTGAGGCCTACACAGATGCCGTGGATTCCGTTCAATGGTCGCATCGTGGTTTGCGTTTTATATCAGGCAGTAAAGATGGAACGGCACACATTTGGACCTTCGAATCCCAGCAGTGGAAAAGTGTGAAACTCTGTATGACCGAAAGATTGTCGAGGTATTTAACCCAAGTTAAAAGAAATTGGACAAACCACACATTCATTGCAAATTTCAGTTGCCCTGAACTTGAAGAAGGTAAAAAGCTCAAGGTAACCATGGTTGCCTGGGACTGCTCTGATAAATATGTTATAACCGCTGTTAACGATTTTACGGTAATCGTCCATTTGTTTCTTTGTTGGAATGCTTTTGAAACTTTAATATTACAGATAAAAATTTGGAATTCAAAGACTGCCCAATTGCACTGTGTTCTTCGCGGTCACAAGGACGAACTGTTTGTACTTGAATCTAATCCTAAAGATGAATACGTTTTACTCTCAGCTGGCCATGATGGGCAGGTTTTTTTATGGGACATAGAAAAAGGTGACTCTGTGGCTCATTTCGTTAACAATATCGATGGACAAGGTCATGGTGGTGTTTTTGATGCCAAGTGGTCGCCAGACGGTACAATGATCGCAGCTACAGATTCGCATGGGCATATATTGATTTTTGGCCTCGGCATTGGTCTTGATAAGTATAAAATCGTACGTACTGATGACAAATAATTTGACGGACTAGTCTCATTATTGTACTGCACTGTTTTTAGCTTCCTACCGAGCTATTTTTCCATACCGACTACAGACCACTACTGCGTGATGCCTCACATCATGTTGTGGATGAACAAACACAAATTATGCCCCATCTCATGCCACCGCCATTCTTGGTTGATTCCGATGGTAATCCACATCCTGCTAGATTTCAAAAATATGTTCCCGGAAGAGAAAATTGTAGCACCGATCAACTTATACCGAATCTTACGGTAGGAGCTGATGGTGTTGTTGTCGATGATAACGTGGGTCCTGGTGGTGGTAATTACTCCCACATTGATCGTTTAATTGCAGCTTTGGCCAATCGTCAAGGAAATGCGACAGCTTCTGGTGCAGCTCAGAATCAATCAGCCATCCCGCCTCCTGCAGCAGAAAGTCATTCCCAGCTAGATCGTATGATTGAAGCTTTGGCTAACCGTCAAGGTTATGATCAGGCCCCTGACTCGAATAATAGACCTTCTGGCAGTCGTTCATCGTTAACAGGAAATATTTTGGGCAATGGACAGCGCATTTTACCTTCGGATAGACGATCTTCTGATACCTCAAACGGTCAACCTCGTCAGGGAACTACTTGGGGTCGACCTCCAGAACAACAGCTTCCGACAAGTCAATTTAAATATGTTCGCCGTGTTTACGTAAGACCCATGAGATATCCTCAGTTGCAGCATTTGAAACAGACGGTTTACGCGGCCGGTCAATATGAGATGCAAGAATATAAAAGAGAAATGCGCCGACGTCCTATAATGATTAGTACTGCCAGCGTTGTTGCTTCGCAATCAGGTGTGGGGCGACCTCGAAATACGCGTTCGAATGGCGCGGGACGAGTAGGACGAAGACGTGGCGGTCGACCACCTGGTGGTCAAGCGCAACAGCAACAGTCACAGCCTGCATATCGCACCCGAGCAATGCGTGATCAAGAGGAAAATGCGCAGCCTGCGCCTCCACCAGTAGATTTGGAGGAGGACGAGGAAAGCAGTGGCTCATCTGGCGATACTAGCTATTCTAATGTAGAAGAAAATCTCGAAGAATCGTCTGAAGACTCGGACACCGAATCGTCTGACTATTCTGACTGGGTAGCTGACACACCGGGTCCAAATCTAGAACCTCCGAAACGTTCAAAACGCAAACCTTTATCTCGCCGTCGTACTGTTACTGATGACAGCAGCGATGAGACTACTGAACAAGCAACTACCTCGGCCAAAGCCGGACGACGCAATAAGCGAGTACTTATACCACCACCAGCACCAAATGGAGAGATACCTGAGCTCTATCGACCAGCGGAATGGTTGTCTGAAGTTATACCGCGGAAAACGCCTTATTATCCGCAAATGGGAGACGAAGTAGTTTACTTTCGTCAAGGACATCATCGTTACTTGGAGGCTGTGCGTCTCAAGAAGCTGTACAAAGTGTCACACAGTTCGGAGCCTTGGAATTTTCGTACTCTTCGGGATCGGGAAATGGTGCGTGTTATTGGCATTAAATATGAAATTCGCCCTCCGCGGTTGTGTTGCCTGAAACTCGCTATGATTGATGAGGACGGTAACATGACTGGTCCGACGTTCAAAATCAAATATCATGACATGCCAGATGTTTTGGATTTCCTAGTGCTGAGGCAAACGTTTGATTTGGCTGTGCAACGTAATTGGAATTTGGGTGATCGGTTCCGTTGCATGATTGGTGACGGTTGGTGGATAGGTCAAATAGAATCGCGTCATGCTCTATCTTCAGACTTTCCCGATTCGTACTTCATGTGTTTCCGAGTGCGTTGGGATAACGGGGAATATGAATATATGAGTCCATGGGATATGGAACCGATCGATGAAAATCGTTTACCGGATGAAGTAGGTGGTGCTTCAACGGTTTTGCCCGAAGAAATACGAGCAACTTTGTATCAACCGAAGTCAGAGGAATGGCATCGTGGTGATCGTGACGGTTCATGTCGTCGCATAATTAATGGATTGGAACAGGTAATTAAGATGACTCCAATTTTACAATAAACGGAAATAATTTACATTTCTACTTTTAGGTTATGCGTTTGTCAATAGCTGAGCCTTTTTTGGCTCCAGTGGATCTAAATATTTACCCCGATTACGCTTATCTGATTGAGTATCCCATTGATTTGACAACAATCAAATCAAGATTTGAAAATCATTTTTATAGACGCATCACTTCGGCACAATTTGATGTGCGTTATTTGGCCACAAATGCAGAAAAATACAATCGGAGGCATACAAACATAGTTAAGCATGCTCGTATTGTTACGGATTTATGTCTGCGTATTATCCGGTAAGTTCTTTTGAGAGAAGGAAAGCTTTTCGAGCCAATAAACGTAATTTTTTTTACATGCAAGTAGGGAACCGAATGATATTGATGTAGCGGCTGTGTATCATCAATTGGCTGATGTATACCATTCATCAGAATCTGAAAATGATAACGAATCAGATGTGGGGCCATCCACTAGTACTCCCTCGACTACCGCCGCCGCTGGGACGCCTACTGCTAGAGTTCGTGGTAGTATGTCAACTACCGCTAGGAGGTTGGTTAATTAGTTGCAAATTTGCGCTGCATTAAAGTTAGGATTAATAAGTAATATTTCCGTTTTAGAACATCAAATCGCATGCGGTCAGATGGGGACTGGCGAGCTGATTGTCGGCAATTGCTGGAAATGATGTGGCAGCGGCCGGACTCTTTGCCTTTCCGTGAACCTGTCGACACCATAGAATTTCCCGATTATTTGGAAATTGTCGCTACACCGATGGATTTGCGTACAGTCAAAGAAGATTTGTTGGGCGGCAATTACGCCGATCCACTGGATTTCGCCAAGGATGTACGCTTAATATTTCAAAATTCAAAGAATTACAACACCAACAAACGCTCGAGAGTGAGTTGGGTTTTTATTTCTTCAGAATATTAACTAATTTTAATTTGAGTTTCCTTTTGCATTCGGATCGTCATTTCATTTTGTGTACGGTTGCTGTGAAGCTTTTGCAGCAGCTTTCAAAATTGCTTTTCGTCTGTTTGTTTTTTTTTAGTATTTTTTATTGCTTATGATTCGTTTGCTTTCATTCTAAAAATTTTTATGCCGATTTCTCACCTCATTGTGCTGTTGTGCTTTCCATTTACTTTCCGACATGCTTCCCACAATCAATTAATCATGAACTTAATCTATTAATCATCCTTATTCACCTTAATAAACAAACAATCAATTGATCAATAATTATTCACCACAATGAATGACGATCATTTGTTAGGATTCAATGGCGGTAAGGTTTTGTTTGACATAAACACACATTCTTTGTCTCTTTCTGTCAAGTAGAAAATTTGTTAAACGGAATTATCTAAAAACTGTAATGTTCCTTAATTAATTCTTTGTTTGCAGATATATTCCATGACTCTCCGTTTGAGTGCTCTTTTTGAATCGCACATTAAAACGGTCGTAAGTAACTGGAAGGCTGCCCGGCGACGAGCTAGTAAGAACAAATCGCGTGGTGCAAATAACGGTCGAGGATCCAGCAGCAGTCCGAATAAACGTATCCCGAATGACCGTACTCGATCGTCGGGTAGACGTGGGCAAGCGCCTAAAAACACGAGAAGGGTAGTACGTAGTTCCGCTGAAGAGTCTTCTCACAATGAGGAAGATGATCAGCCCCGTGGTAGTATGCGACGTGGTCGTACCGCTCCTCCACGTGGTTCTGGGGGAGTAGCGAGCACTTCAAGTTCAAATCGTGTGACTTCATCGTCCACACATCGACGTTTTAATGCCGGAGACAATGATCAACCTGGTACTTCACGTTCCTCGAGACGTAAAAACGCATTGACCGAATTGCCAGATAACGATGACGACGATGACGATGAAGACATTACCGGTTCTTCCACGACGGAGGAAGATGATGATGACGTAGAAGATGACGACGAACCGAGTTCAAATGAAGAAAGTGTTACTGACAATAGTTTGTCGGAGGATTCGGAAGAAAGTTATATCCCGCAAAAAGAGCGAAAAAAACGGGGACGAAAACGACGCCATAAGTCGGCTCGTAAAAATAAACAGGGCACAAAACCTAAGCGCCGTCGTATTGAGGACGACTCGGATGAGGATTTTAATGTAGAAACACGTGGTAAACGTAAAAAATCTAGCAAAAGATCTGGTGGAGCAGATGTTGTACGTAATGCTAGTCGCAAAGGTGCAGGAACGGGCGGTTTATCACAAGCAGACGAAAGCACGCAAGATACCGTCACGCATATTACCCCCAAGAAAAAAGGTCGACCCCCGAAAGCATCCCGCAATAATGAAAATGGTCCTAGTACGAGCGCTAGCGCTTTGTTAATTCAGAGTCCATCCCGTACCACCAGGAACCAGGCTAGTTGCGCTGCATTAGCATCTGGGAATGGGCGGCGAGCCGCCGAAAATGATCACAGCTACCATTTGCCCATGCGCAATGGTCGTATTGCCGAGTCAGACACTGATTCTAGAGAGGTAGCTGTCCGTCCGACCAGAGCGAGTGTGAAAAGAGCTATTTTGGAATGGGCCCGTGGTAGTGATATTGATGACGACGATGGCACAGAAGAAGCCGAAGAGGTTAACTTTTAAAATAAAATATAATTAAAATATAAATAAATAATATATGCACACGTTTAACGTTAGATATTGCCAACACCGACACCCACGAAAGCTAACGGACCAACTGCTGCGAGTCGTGATGTCAATAGTTCCACTGGAAGTCGAACAGCCACCAGTGCGACAAGACAATTACGTACCAATCGCAACACTGTTGTGGAATCTGCGCACAATGAATCAGATGACGAGGATGACGATAGTGACAATGAGCCTTTAGCTACGAGCCAAGCGTCCCAATACAAGTCACAGGGTAAATTGAAATTGAATTTTAATTTGAAAAATTAGCCGATTGTTAAAGTTTTATTTCTTTCCTTTTAGGTAATTCGAAAAGTGGTAACGGACCGCATCCCACACATTTGCATAGACGTGATGTGCAAATGGCCCAGAACGGTAGATTGCCGACAGCACCGGTATTGCATATGACACGTTCACATGCTACTTCGACAACTACAAACGTCGCTTCTTCTTCTTCTATCGTCGCCGCTCCTTTAGCTGCACATGATCATAATTATTTGGGTGATCCAGGACCTTCAACATCTAGCGCTGCAATGCGTAATTCAAGAAGGGTCTTATCCCGCCATCAACGTAATGCCGATGAACTGGACTCAAGCTTAGATCCGCTTGAGGGTTCAATTATTTCACGCCTCATGAGGCGAACGCCTACATCAACGACGAACACTGCAAATGCGGCTCCTGTCACTACAATTAACCGCTCAAGAGTGGACACACCTATCAGTGGGATACCTTTACGACGAGGCCGCTCACGTTATAGTCAGGAGAATTCGCAGACTGAACCGTCGGCAGATGAAAATCTGCCAGACATTGAAGAAGAAGATGATGAAGACGATGTTGGAGCTTCAGATATAGGTATTGATGGCGGTTCTAGCGATGCTATCAATAACAGTGAATCAACTGACTCCGAAGACGATCAACCGCTTACTTCTTATGTACCCGCTTCAAAACGCAATGGTGGCCGCAGACCGGTCCAGAAAAAAAGACGAAATTCTGATCATTCGTTCGTATATGATGACGACGGCAGTGATGAATATCGTGGCAGACGGAAAAGAACACACAAAGGACGGAAACGTAAAGAAATCGGTGAAATTGGAATTAGGCGCAATCAACGTGGCTCGCGTAACCAAAAGCGTCCCCGTTATAACGAACTAAGCGACGATGAGGAATTACAAAGTAAAAAGACCGCACTTGCTTATACAACTACAGGCAACCGTATAGATGGTGATGATCCAAGTGCCAGCACCATAGACACTGATGATGATCAATTGGTAAGTGTCAGCAGTAGAGGACGTATACGTAAAATAACTGCCAAAGCGAGAGGGATTTTTAAGGAGTAAAGAATTCAATACTCCAGTGACTGTTTTTATGTAGAAAAAAATCGCATACATATACACATTAATTTATCCAAAAAGAATTATTATTATCATTTGTATTAATGACTCAAACACGGTAACCACATCTACAATAACACTCATGCTTATCTTCAATTTATTTTATGCATATTTCCTCTACATTTATTTAGTGTTAAACAATTAACGATTTTTCATGATCTTTTTTCTTTTCTATTCATTTCATCATCGTAATTTAATGTGAATTAGAATTTTCTTTTCATTCATTAATCCGTTCTTACATGAATTTATTTGTTTTATTATTATTATTAGTTTATAGCATATTTCTCAAACTCCGTTTATGCGAAAGAAAATATTGTTTAATTACTTTGGTGTTATGCGCGTTCGGGCGCATAAAAAATATTAAATATCAAATTAAATTGGAATTTCTTGTGAAATGCTTTTAGGATTTGTTCTTTAATTTTTTTATTTTTTATTTTGGATATCTGTCCTATATTTATCATACTCTATTTGCCAAGGGAGTATAATTTTCTTTGCAAATGCTAGCAGAATAAAGTTTATCCACTTTGATTCAAAACAAAAAAAAAACATCATTTAAAGCATTCAAAATATGATTTCCTTCTTAAGATGTAATTAATTGTAAACGCAAAACAAATACAACACAATTTCAATAAACAATAAATGTGTTTCTTTGTGTTTTAAATTTAAACAAAATAAAACTTATGCGTTTCATTTGCAATCAAGGAATAAATCCTTAGACAGTGAACGGCGGCATCGATTCCATCATGTCAGTTTATTATTTTAAAACCATGTACAAGAAAAGCTCTTGTGATGCTGGGACATGTCCTGGAGGCTATCATCCCGAAAAGTGACGAAAACATGAACCTCAACAGTAATAAACAGTAGCAATTATTAGCAAGAAATATATACAAAACACAACAGAAAAAATGCGGCCGTGCTAGCGAAAGCCGATATGTTAGGTGTAATTATAGATTGTTGAGTTGTTGAAAGTGAAAAAGTGTTGCAAATTTTGGCTGAAAACCAAAAAGGGGCGTTATAAAGATAAAATATGATTGAATGTAAAAAAAAATTGATCATGCATTGAAAAGATAAATTCGCTTTTCTAATAAAGCAAGTCAGTTCCGCTGGAAGACGTACATTTTTTGCTGCAAAGAGATCGAGGAGACCACCATACAACTTGAAGAAGCCAAAAGAACTCCTAATACCATCAACCCATTTAAAAATTAGATGCTCAGCACATTCGCTAATATTACAAACTTCACAAATATCACATGGTATGGCACGAACGATTTTTTAAATAGACTTTTACCATAAGCGTGACTACTCATGAGTCTATAAAAAACTTTGATTTCCCAGAAATTAAAGAAAGCTTCTGATAAGGGCTCAAAACGAAATGTGGGAAAGGCAATTGGCTATAACAAGTGTAATCTCTTTAAATTCATCACTTAGTTGTTGAGAGATGTGGTTACGAATTGCCCGTATTGCTTCATTGGGAGTGTATTTGATGGACGAGATTGGCCGATCAGCTTGAGCCCTTTTTGCATGAAAGTCAGCTTTTTCATTAAAAAAAAAGCCGCAATGACCAGGTATACATACAAGGTGACAATCATCCACTTGAGATTCATGTAACATAATGTGTATATTAAGCACATGCTAATTATCTGCATATCTTTTATTTATTAGAAGTAGAGCTGACTTACTATCAGAAAAAACAACAAATTTTTTGATACCACCAATAATAGCCACCTTACTAGCATGTCTGATGGCAAGCAATTCACGAAAAGTCGAGGAAAGTTCCTCCGCCACTTTGACTCTATGCACTGTTTTAGACAGATGCTTCACTATGGAGAAGCTGGATACATTATGTCCATTGTTGTAATAAAGAAAAAGCTCTTCTTGACATAAGATCTTCATACAAGAGAAATTGCTTTGAGATAGAGATCGATTCAAATATTTTTATGAAGACTCTACATTTCTATATATATTTTGTCAAAATGTGTAGCTGCAAGAGATAGTATCATTGAGAGATATAACTTTGTGGAAAAAGCAAGGATCTCTACCTTAATTAACTCCTTGACAGTACAAAAAAGAGCTCTTTCGGAAACATGCCATTCACCAGAAATGACATTGAGAATATGCTGAGCGAGTTCATTTGTCGATCCAGTACAACGTTTTACCGTTCGATTTTCAAACGTTTGTATACGTTTCTCAATATATTTTGGAAAATTACAAGGTGTAGAAAGTGCAAATGCAATGTTAGAGATGACTAAAGCTTTGTACGCAGTCAAAGCTTTTTTGGCAGGTAGGCTTGGCTGATTGCCATGAGTTTGGTGATGTTGCACCTAGATCGACAGTCTTTGAAGGCTTTCTCGTAACGTCCAGGAGAAGTTAAGCCGTCATTTAAAATTCTACGAAGAAATCAAAGAGATTTCACCTGATTAGCTTTAGTTCCTTTCATAAAGAGACTAATTTCACGTTTAGAATAGAATATAAATTAAGATCAGCGCATGCATCGAAAGAAAGATTAGCTTTTATCCAGAGATTATTCACAGCTACAGATATAATTGGAATGTCATCTGCATATTGAAAAACACGAGTTTTGTCATCTTGAAGATCATGCAAAGTAGCTGTATATAGATTAAATAATACAGTACAACTATCTTGTGGAATACGACCGTATACTTCAGCTTTATCTGTACCCATTACCAACACAGGCTTGGTTAAAAAATTTTCTATCCACAGAAGTATTTGAAGAGGAGTTGAAAATTTTAAGAGAATTCTACAAAGCTTAGTCAGGTTGACACAATCATAGTCTTTGCTGATGTCCATGGAAAGCATAACAACCATTTTACCAGCTTTTTTTAAACTAGCTATGAGAAAAGATAGTTCATTAACGCACATATTCGTAGATTTGCGTTTTTGACAGGCGTAAGAACGAGCTGGAATAATGTTCTCAGTTTTCAAGAAATCCATTAATCTCTTCTTAACCATGAGGTTGATAATCTTTATGAATACAGATAGTAGCGAAGTTGGTCTGAAGTTACTTAAATCATTTAAGTCTTTATCTGCCTTAGGAGTGGGAACTACTTTGATACATCGCAAATCTAAGGTTTTAAAGTTAATAGACCATCAGTTATTAATTGCATGCAGGAAGATACTTAAACCGCATCCGGACAGTGCCCTGACCACCTCATACTTAACTCCATCACAATCTGCAACAGTAGGTCTCTTTCTGGAATGTAAAACGTATGTTAGTTCACACAATAAAAAGGGTGTATTGTAGAAGTGAAGGTATTGTAATCTGATTGACACTTGGAATAAAGCTCTTAAGCATATTTAAGCATCTGTTATTATCATGGTCTCCGGGCATTAAAGGCATTCACAAGGATCTCGTCTTTGTTGGTCGAGAGCTGATCGCCATACAAGCAATGTCTAGCATTGAAATTTTCAGCTAGGATCACACTTTGTTCATCGTAAAGAAAGTCACATAATCTCTAAATCTCATCACGAAAAGTTTGTACTTCAAAACTAGGTGGAAAGTAGCATGATGCTGTCAAAAGATTCCGTTTAAGATTCATGGTTTTGATGATGACGTTCTCAAGAGCAGAATTGTAGGAAATGTTACGCCGAACGCTTTGAATATTAAATTGAGATCACGTTTTAAATAAAAACGGACGGATTGGACGGATATATTCTTTAATCACACACATTAATCTATCAAGTTCCGATGAACGCAAGTCGTCGTTCAAAATTACTGGACGCTGAGATTTTGTTACACACGGTTTGAGCGGTGTACTGGGAAGAGGTTAAATTTTTCCTTTGTCGGAATCTTATTAATATTTTCATTACCATCCTTGGCAAAAATGGAGGACGAGTTCCGCAATGGAAGGAAATTCTCATCGTAAGAATTTTTACCGAGACATTCAAAGTAGTTTGTCAGTAGTTTGTCTTTCAGAGTACTTTGTCTTTCACTTCTTTGTAGGAAAGACTTTTAATGGCGATAATCTTGTTGATATTTAATCCCCGGTCTCTGTTCGGCGACGCTTGTTTAGAGTGCTGTGTTCACGTGAACCACAAAACAGACACCTCATCGTTTCGGAGTGTTCGGTACATTTAGGAGACTTACCACAATTCAGACGCCTGCTCCCCTTGACTTTATAGAACTTTGACACATGCTCATATCTGTCACACTTAAAGGAGTGCTTTAAGGAAGCTTGCAAAAATTGAACTTGATCGATTTGAGGAGGGCTTTCCCTTTAAAATTAATTTTAATACTTGTTGCGGAAATGAAATCGTCCTTGTCTCTCTCTGAAATCTCTTCTTCGACGCCTAACAGCAGACTTAATGAGAATATCGGACACCGCTTTTTCAGTGGTGTCATTTACATTATACTCAATGGGGACATTGTGAATAACTCCGAATCTTTCCGTGAAAGATTTCGAAATATACGCTTTTAAATTTTTTTTTTTAAATCATTGTTTTTAAGGAAGTTGTCAGCGTTAAAAGCAGAGCTGAACAGCAATTTGGCTCTACCCTTGCTAACCACCTTAAGTTCTTTAAACCATTAATGTTGAAACATCTGCGACAATCATAAAAGGAAAGATCCGAATTGATGTTCGTACGCATGCCTTCGGCATTTTTACAGGTTTCAATAAAAACACAGAAATTGCATTGGGAATTATAGTCACACATGATGTGGAATTGGCACATCAAAAGGCTAATTAATTATCTGGTTACTAAGCACTATTGAATCATTAGCTTTGGCTCCTCCTCTGGGAGGCAAATCAACTGCATCTTCAACCCTCCGCGATCTCTCATTATTCTCAGCGGTATTCACATAAAAATTTTCAAAATTATCTCTACCTGCAGTAATTAGATCAGACCCTTTCTCCATAAGCAGGCTGATGTTGTTTTAGCTGTTATTCTGGGATACAGTTACCAAAAGTCGAGACGAAAAAAAAAATTTAATATATACGTTTTTAAGTAGGAGTTTACAAAATTGCAAACAAAAGAATAATTTTTCATTCGAAAACGATTTCCTTTAAGATTGATACCAGAAAAATCTTTTTTTTTTTTAAATTCTCTTTTTTTTCACTAACATAGAAAAGACACGTCAGAAAAAATTTTTCAGTTGCCATTTGCTAAATGTCATGTTGCTTCAAGTGTTGATTGCGCTGGAATAATCAATCTTCTGGAACAATCAATCCCATCAATAAACCAGCTTTTTTATTTTTATATTAACTTCCTTATCGCTATTTTTCACGAATTTATTGTTTATATTTACATTGATTAGTATGGACTCAACGGGGCGGCATTTTGAGATAGAGATTTTTAGGTCTGATACATTTTCGTTAGACAAGATTTCGCTAGGGATGTAAAAATCTACTACTTTGCAATTTAGCGTGTGTATTGCGTTTGGAGCTCTGGATGTTACATTGCAAAAAAAGATTATTTTATTTGATTTGAAAGATTTAATATAGAAGTGGACAAAGAATGTTAGTCCTGGACCGTTGATAGCTGAGAAAGTCTTAGAAATTTCATTAAGAAGTTTCTCATCTTCTGTGGATTTGTGTTCAATAAGAAAATCT